CCTCGCGGTAAGTGCGAGGAGTCGGTATGTCAAGGGCGTCGGGGTCTCCCTCAGGGGAGAGCAGCATGGCACACACAGAGGGAGAAGCGGCTGCCCAGTACTCCAGCTCAGACTCTCTGTCCTCTAGGACGTCACAGCCAAGGGCAAACTCACCCCCGACGGACAGAGGACGGTAGGGAGGAGCTGGCACCACACGGGTGGCGTAGTCAAGGCGGCTGGCGGCAGCAAACTCAGCGACAGCGGCAGTGAGAGCAGAGACCGACGACGGAGGGAAACGAGAGTCGGTGACAAGAGTGGCGAGGACACGGGCGGCAACAGGACGAACAGTGCGGTAGTAGTCAGTGATAGGAGTGGGGAGGGCTGGGAGAGAGGACGGAGGAGGAGACGGGAGAACGGACACAGGAGAAGGAGAACGACGATGAGACGTACAAAGGAGGGCAGTGTGGAGGTCAGTAACAGGGGACGAGTGACGAGCACCCGGAGGACAACGAGTGATCAAGTCGTGACGGACCGAAGGAGGAGGAGACTGAGGAGGAGGAGAAGACCAGACCGCCGGACGGTCGTCAGGAGGAGGCAACGGAGGAACAAACACATGAGGAGACTGGGAGCGGATAGGAGGAGAGGAGGAAAAGCGAAGGGCCCGCAGGCCACTCACAGGTGGGAACAACCGCCGCTCCAGAGGAAGCTGCGGTGGCGGCTGCGGCTGCTGCCGCTGCGGCGGCGGCTGCGGCTGCTGCTGCTGCTGCTGCTGTTGCTGCTGCTGCTGCTGCTGCTGCTGCTGCTGCTACTGCTGCTGCCGTTGCTGCTCCAGAAGGTCCAGCACCCACAGCTCCTGCCGCTCCCTCTCCAACCGCTCCTGCTCCTCACGCTCACGCCGACGGGCAGCCTGGAGTCGTGTGTCGTGGCGGTGGGGAGGCGGAGTGGACTCCGCAGAACCAGGGTCAGACTCCTCAGACTCAGCACCCCCAGAACCCGCACCTCCAGTGCCAGGACCTCCAACTCCAGCACCCCCAGAACTAGCACCGCCAGTGCCAGCACCCCGCGCTCCTGCACCCCCAGAACTAGCACCTCCAGTGCCAGCACCTCCAGCTCCAGCACCCCAAGAGCTAGCGCCACCTGCGCCAGCACCTCCAGTTCCAGCACCCCCAGAGCTAGCGCCACCTGCGCCAGCACCTCCAGCTCCAGCACCCCCAGAGCTAGCGCCACCTGCGCCAGCACCTCCAGCTCCAGCACCCCGCGACCGAGTACCCCCAGACCGAGCACCGCCAGCGGCTGCACCTCCAGCTCCAACACCAACCGAGTCCACAGTAACCTGTCGCGTAAGTGCCGAAGGCTGCTGAGGGGACTGTGAGGAGGACTGCGGGGAGGGAGACGCTACCTGACGCGCGACCGAGGGTAGAGGGGTAACGTGGGACACACCAGACGGGGCAGGACCAGGGGGGGGCGGGGGTACCGGAGGGGCGGGAGCAGGAGGAGGAGAGGGTGCGAGGAAAAGAGGGGGAGGGGGTACCGGGAGACCTCGACAGGGGTACCGGGTGTAGTAGGACACGGACTCGTCAAACCGGACTTCACGGGAGTCTAGGAACTGGTGGAGGGGAGGGTGGTAAAAGGACCAGTCGGCAGAGTCCACTGGGAAACCAAGGAAGACACAGGGGACGGCGCGTGCCGAGAGCTTGTCCGCAGAGGTGTCGCGAACAAGCGCAAGGCAGCCCCAGACTCGAAAGGCCGACCCGACACCAGGGGAACCAGTCCAAAGACTGGTCGGTGAAGCCTCGCGCCGCGAGACACGCTGCTGGAGGTTCAGCTGGAGTGCGGCGTAGTGAACCGCGTGGGGCCACAGAAAATGGGGCGCACGGGCATGGATCATGGACGTGCGGGCGATGTCCATGACCAAGCCTATGCGGCGCTCAGCAACCCCATTCTGCTGTGGGGACTCTGGCAGCGTCCAGGACTGGGTGATGCCCTGTTCGCCGCAGAATCCGCCGAGAATGCCGGAGCGAAACTCGCCCCCACGGTCGGAGTGGAGACAACTGACTCGACGACCACGAGTGCCCTCAGTGGCTAGAAGCCACCTGATCAGCGTAGCAGTCACCTCGGACTTCTTCGCAAGAGGGAACACTGTGGTGTACCTGGAGAAGTCGTCGACGACCACCAGAAAGTAACGCTCCCCCCCAGACCCCTGCGTCGGGGCAGGGCCCCAGACGTCCAAGTGGAGAGTCTCGAAGGGAGCGGTGGCCGGACGAAGGGAGGAGGAGTGGGGAGTGGCGCGTAAGCGACCGACGACGCACGGAGAGCAAGGAGGGGCAAGCGAGAGAGGGAGCGACGGGAAGGTGCGTGGGAGACCTGAGACAAGTCCCTGACTGAGCATGCCACGTAGGCGAGGGAGCGACGGGTGGCCAAGGCGGTGGTGCCACAGGACGGTGCGGTGGGTGAGAGAGTGACAGGAGCAAGACGCCGCGACTGGACTGGGCACAGCGACCGGACCGGACACTACTGCCTGGCTAGACACAGCAACTGGACTGGGGACCTGGGCCGGAGGGGACGCAACGACCTGAGGGGAGGACGCGACCGGGGAGCGCTCGGTGTGGAGAACGTAGAGACCGGAGCGGGGCTCCCTGGTGAACGTGGCCAGAACAGCACCTGTGGTAGCGTCTGTACAGACTGCAGTCCGCCCACCCCCCACGAAGGTAACCGTGATCCCCCTGTCGTGGAGGTATCCAACACCCACCAAGTTCCGAGCGAACGAGGGGATGTGGAGGCCGCGCAGGACACCAGAGGGGACCACAGGGCACGGGAGGGTGGTGGAGCTACGCGCAACGGCTGGTCCAGAGGTAGGATCAGCCAGAGCCACCGACACAGGTGTGAGGAGTGGTGTAAGGGTCGTGTGGTCGCGGAAGAAGCACTGAGACGCGCCCGAGTCCAGCGTGAACGACAGAGAGGCCTCAGCCGGCGGGTCACCTGACCCAGTCGCTACACAAGCACCTAGAGCAGCAACACAAGCACCTAAGCTAGACAGGCACAAGGCTACACTAGCAGGAGGCAAGCAGGCTAACCTACGAACACGCGAGCACACAGATCCATCAGCACTAAAGTCAGCATCAACATACAAAGCATGCTGACGCGCATCGTCCATGGACAAATCAAAGACATCAATCTTACGGGCTAACAGACGAGACCAGCGAGGCGTGACCGCCAGAGGGCCCCAACGAGCCCGGTAGAGGTCGTCGAGGCGGCGGAAGCACCGCGCGGCAGAGTGGTCGTCGCGACCACAGAGACAGGGACTCCCCGGCCCGGTGACGCACCAGTGGGTGCACGGGCCAGCGTCACGGCGAGGGGGGCGAGGGGCCCAGCTGGAAGAGCTGCTGCTGCGGCCGGTGCTCCCAGGGCCTCCCGGACCCCACTGCGGCGGGGGACCCCAGTGCTGCTGCGGACCCCACTGCAACGGGGGCCCCCACTGCTGGAACTGTTGCGGTGCCTGCTGCTGCTGCTGTCCCAGCTGCTGCTGCTGTCCCTGCTGTGGCTGGTGCTGATGTGGCTGCTGCTGCTGGGGGGCAACGCCCCCACCGGTCGGGCCACCACCTGTGGGTGGGCCTGTCTGTCCTGTGCCTCCTCCAAGGCCCCCTCCCCCTGGTGCACCACCGCCGCCGCCGCCGCCTCCGCCACCACCGCCGCTCCCACCTCCACCGCCACCTCCACCGCCGCCTCCACCGCCTCCACCTCCACCGCCTCCACCTCCACCCTTCCCGCCCTTCTTGCCACTCTTGCCCCGTTTCTGCCAGTCTGCGGCAGAAACGGCAGCAGTGTCCCCAGAAACCGACACAGCAGCAGAAGCGCGGGTAGCAGTGAAAGTGGGAAGCTGAGGGGCGGCACACCCCGCAAAGAGACGGGGGGCCACCGCGTCAGTGGCGGAGGCAACGGTGAGGAGGCTACTCTCGATCGTCCCGAGAGCAGTCTCAAGGAGATCGACAGTGAGCTCAGTGGGGTGCTTCTGGAGAAGCGCGTCGCGAGCAGTGGCAAGGCGGTCAGGGAGGCGGGTGACTAACCAGTGCACAGTGAGCCACATGGGGGGGGGAGCAGCAAGAAGCTGGGCGTCGGTACAGGCCGCACGGAAACCGGCGTCAAGTGAGCGGAGGTGAGTCACGAGGTCGGACACAGTCGCAAACGAGCCGAGGTCGGGAAACACGAACGGCATGAGGAGGCGACTGAGGGAGGCAGAGGAAGGGGTGGAATAGCGTGCAACAACAGCAGCCCAAACCCCCTGAGCTGTCTCCACCTGGTCAAAGTGGGCGGCCTCAGTCGGGGGGAGGAGCTCCGTCAGCGCAAGAGCGGCGGCAGCGTCGCGAGAGTCCCACACGTCCCTCGCCAAGACACGACGCTCGTAGTCCGCCTGCGCCGCAGGAGTCGGCTCTGGGTCGTTCGGGAGGGGGGCGGGGGACAGGGGCGCTTTGAGGGCACCCGACGCGTGGGCCCACAAGGTGGTGCCGTCCTGACGCTGACTGGTCAGGTAGCGCGTGGCCTGGCGCTGCCAGGTACTGAACTCGATCGGGCGTCCCTTCGCATCGAACCGAAGGCGGCGAGACTCCATACTGGAGGCTAGGCTAGAGGCGGTTGGAGCACGGAAGAGACGGAGCTAGGAACGAGGAGGGAAATGGAGGAGCGCCAGGTGTGGCGAGGCAAGAGACCGGCGGAGCTAGTGGCGAGGAGCACGGAGTGACCTAGGCTAGGCGTGAAACGGCGAGGAACTCCAGGTATGGGCGCTAGAGGCGAGGAGCTAGTGACCACACGGGTCTAACCTAGGTGACCGGCGAGAGAAGCGGCTGCCAGCCGCTGAACTAGAGACCACTGGCAGTAAGAATGGTTGGGGCTCAGGGAACAGGGTGGTGGTGGGGAAAGGGACGAGTGCCAAGTGTCGTTGGGCGTCGGTAGGGCCCAAGCTAAGGTGAGGGTGAGGGCTAAGGCGTGGGCGCGAGCTCGACCTGTGGGAGGCACGGAGGGCGGCGCTAAGCACGGAGGGCGCGGACGGCGCAAAGGGCGGAGCTAAGCACGGGGGGGGGGGGGGGGGGGGGGGGGGGGGGGGGGGCGCGGAATTTCCGGAGGGCGGGGCTAAGCACGGAGGGCGCGTGGCGTGGGGTAAGGCGCGGGCTAAGCCACGGGCTCGGGCGCGGGCTAGGCGCGGTCTAAAGCGCCAGGCGTGGGCGAAGGAGAGGGCGCACGGCTCAGGCTCGGGATGGAGGGTGCGAGAGGGGCGGAGGCGTGCTAGGCGGGCGGAGGCTCCGCGACGAGCTAAGGGCAGGGCGCACGGGGCCCGCGACGAGCTAAGGCAGGGCGCACGGGGCACGCGACGAGCTAAGGGCGGAGGCACGAGATGGAGGGCGCGGAGGGTGCGTTTCATAGGGCGCGGAGAGCGTGGAGGTTTCGTTTTGGAGGGCGCGGAGGGCGCAAAAACGAGGCCCGCGGGGGCCGTCCTACCCGCGACGAAACGGGGCCTAAGGGACGGGCGCCTCGGGACCGGCTAAGGGAGGGAGCGGAAGCGTGGGAGGGAGAAAAATTGCCTACTCTAATACCATCTTAAGTTAGGCTAGGAACAAGTGTCGAGAGGATTTTTTTAGTGAGTAGGAACAATGGGATACAAGTCGACCTAGAGAATGTTGTACCCTTTAGAGGGCAACTCACTGTAGCCTAGATAACTAACATCTATAACATATAAACATTTGACACCCTGTTGGGGGGGGGGGGGAGGAGAGAGAGAAAAAACACAATGCATACTGCCCGGGGGCAGATGAAAATCATCCTCAAGGCAGGTACTGCCCGTCCTTGCAGCCCAGCCTTGCTGCCCGACCAGCTGTGTAGTTTTGCTCACTGCAGCTAGGCTGCTGTGAGGAACAAGAGAAATGGGTTTTGAGGCGTATCCCAAAACCCAGAGGTTGCTCACTGCAGCGACTCTGCAGTGAGGAGAACACGAGCTTTGAGACGTCTCCCAAAACTCGAGGACCAACGGATTGACGGAACGGAAATAGAACGACAAGCTGCAGTGCACTGCAGTAAACAGAACAGAACCGCCACCGGCAGTTCACAGCTGTCTTGAGGCGCCTCAAGAACAGCACACAAGGACCCCACCCCTCACCCCTCACCCCTCCCTGAGCCCCATACTCTCTTGTGAAAGCAGGCGCTGTTGGTGACAGCTGCTGCTCCCTCCTCCTCCGCACTCCAACCCGCCTCCATCCGCCCTGCCATACAGGAATGCAAGAAGGGGATCTACGGGAAGAAAGATTAGTTGCTGGTGAAGATGCGAGCGAAAAGAGAATGCAAAAAACAAAACAAAGACTGAAACATGCGACAAGAAAACGAAACGAATGCGAAAACAGAGCGGAAATTGGTCCCCTCCCTGAGCCCCATACTCCCTTATGAAAGAAGGCGCTGCTGGTGCTGCTGCTCCCTCCTCCTCCGCACTCCAACCCGCCTCCCTCCTCCCTCCCATGTAGCTGCTGCTGCCGCGCCTCCTGCTCTGCAGTACAGGAATGCAAGAGGGGGGAGCTAAGGAAAGAAAGGTAAGTGGCTGGTGAAGAGAATGCAAAAAACGAAACAGAAATCGAAACTTGCGACAAGGAAACGAAACGCATGCGAAAACGGAGCGGAAAACGTTCCCCTCCCTGAGCCCCATACTCCCTTCTGAAAGAAGGCGCTGCTGGTGACCTCCTTCTCCGCACTCCAACCCGCCTCCCTCCTCCCTGCCTTGTATCTGCTGCTGCTGCCGCGCCTCCCGCTCTGCAGTACAAGAATGCAAGAGGGGGGAGCTAAGGGAAGAAAGAGAAGTGGCTGGTGAACAGAATGCAAAAAACGAAACAGAAATTGAAACATGCGACAAGGAAACGAAACGCATGCGAAAACAGAGCAAAAATTGGTCCCCTCCCTGAGCCCCATACTCCCTTCTGAAAGACGGCGCTGCTGGTGCTGCTGCTCCCTCCTCCTCTGCACTCCAACCCGCCTCCCTCCTCCCTCCCATGTAGCTGCTGCTGCCGCGCCTCCCGCTCTGCAGCCGCCCCCACCAGCCCTCCACTCCGCCATGATGCGCCCTGCCATACAGGAATGCAAGAGGGGGATCTACGGGAAGAAAGATAAGTTGCTGGTGAAGATGCAAGCAAAAAGATAATGCAAAAAACAAAACCAAACTTGAAACATGCGACAAGGAAACAAAGCACATGCGAAAACAGAGCGAGAAGAATCAAAACATGCGTCAAGGGGGGATCCGTGGAAGGAAAGATAAGTTGGTGGTGAGGGTGCAAGGGAAAACAGAATGCAAAACGGAAGCTAAACACGCGACAAGGAAAAAACATTACTACAAGAAACAAAAAGTGGTTCTCCTCGGCCCCATCCATACTCCCTTCTAAAGGCAGGCGTTGCTGATGTCACCACACTGCACTCCCTCGGACCCATCCATACTCCCTTCTCAAGGCAGGCGCTGCTGATGGCACCGCACTGCACTCCCTCGGACCCATCCATACTCCCTTCTCAAGGCAGGCTTTGCTGATGGCACCACACTGCACTCCCTCGGACCCATCCATACTCCCTTCTCAAGGCAGGCGCTGCTGATGGCACCACACTGCACTCCCTCGGACCCATCCATACTCCCTTCTCAAGGCAGGCGCTGCTGATGGCACCGCACTGCACTCCCTCGGACCCATCCATACTCCCTTCTCAAGGCAGGCGCTGCTGATGGCACCGCACTGCACTCCATCGGACCCATCAATACTCCCTTGTCAAGGCAGGCGCTGCTGATGGCACCGCACTGCACTCCCTCGGACCCATCCATACTCCCTTCTCATGGCAGGCGTTGCTGATGGCACCGCACTGCACTCCCTCGGACCCATCCATAACCCCTTCTCATGGCAGGCGTTGCTGATACTCCCTTTTAAAGGGGTACCAGCAACGAGTGCTGATCAGGAGTGCGTCAAAGGCCAAAAGAGGAGTTAACTGGGAAGTGTGAGGTGAAGTATGCTTAGGGTGAGTTGAGCAAACGGTGGGACAAGCGGGAGGATGAGAACCAAAGAGTGGGGTTGCAGCCACCAATCTCAGAACGCATCCAACACACACTTACCGCGGCTCTGCTGGGCAAGAGGGAGAGTGAGAGGAGAGCCAATGAGAGGGAGGTCCCACCCCCAATCAAAGTATCACCACTCAGACACACCTTTCTCCCAGCTTTTTACTCCCTTCCACATACGACAGCCTCTCCCTCCAAGTACCCCCTCCTTCAGCTTATCCGCCTCTCCTTCTCGCACCTCCACCTCACCCCAAGGGTGCAGGTGGGAGAACACGAATGGGAACAACGAGCTTCGCTCGCTCCATCCTTGCTCCATCCGCATCGCCTCTCGTGCCGCCAGCAAGCGGGTGGTCAGCAGGGCGGGTAGGAGGCACCCACATGCCAGTGCCTGCCGGGTGTGCGTCATCCCACCTCTCTCGCTGCTCTTGTTCCATCCGCCGCGCTTTGGGCCCGCATGAGAGCTTCACGCCCACGGATTGCGTCTCACAGCCTCACCTTGCCTCGCAGCCTCGCCTCGCCTCTTGCCGCACGCCTCTTGCCTTGCCGGGCGTTGCACTCACATCCAGAGAGCGTGTCGTAGGAGTTGCACTTACATCCAGAGAAGTCGGTGGTGGGCGTTACACCCGCAGCCATCGTCGGCAAAAGAATCAGAGACAAGTCAACGCAAACCTACAGATGCACTCACATCCAGAGAAGGCCGTGGTGCGCATTGCACATCCATCGTCGGCAAAAAAATCAGAGATCGCCAATGAAAAACCTACTGATGCACTCACATCCAGAGAAGGAGGTGGATGTGGCTGTCGCCTCTGTGTAGAGCGTCGGTGGTATGCCAAAGAGAAACGAGAAAGACAGCGAGACAGATCGAGAGAGAGTGAAGAGGCAAGGGTAAGATATCTTAGCCGGATTGAAGAGGGTCGAAGGAGCATGCAGGCGTGCTCCCCTTGCATGCGTGCGGCGCCCACACGGCCATGCGCCTCTCCTTGCCGCCACACTCCTCCTGCTGCCGCAGCGCCACTCAGAGACAGCACGGTCGGTCGCGCTGGTTCTGCCGGGAGGTTGGGCGAGGGCAGTGGTCAGCAGGGCCAGCCCAGGCCGTGCGTCATCCCACCACTCGCCTCTCCCACTCGCCCACGCTGCTTCCACTGCTCCTCCATGCTTTCTGCTGCTGCCGGCCTGTAGGTGTGCTGGCAGAGGGAAGAAGGCGAGGGATGCTGGCAGGAGGAGAGGAGAAGAGGGAAACAGGTGGACGGAGCAGAGAAGGGAGGTAAGGGAAGGCGATTAGCATGGCGTACGCAAGTGACAGAACGGAAAAACGGCACTCATGCAAGCAAGGAAAAATGGAAGGATGCAAGCAGTGAGAGTGTGTGAGTGGTGTGAGTGGTGGTAGAAGTGGGTGGAAGCGGGTGGTGGCAGCAGCAGGGCGGGCACCAAGGACAATACCGTACCTTGGCACACCTGACGCACTTACCTGCTGTCACACACCTCGGGAGGGTCCCTTGGTGCCGCCTGTGAGAGCGGCGAGAGGAGGAGGAGGGCGAGAGCGCAAGCAAGCAGTGGAAGGCACGAGTGGGAGCGACTGAGTGGTGCGTGCACAGTGCGAATTCAGTGAGATAGCTCAGCCGGATTGAAGAGGGTCGAAGGAGCATGCAGGCGTGCTCCCCTTGCATGCGCTCCCTGGGCTCCCTGCCCCGCGTTTGTCTGCCTCCTTGAGTCCGCTCTGCTCCCGGAGAGGCGAGGAGTGGTCAGCAGGGCGCGCAGCAGCAGGCCCGCCGTGCGTCATCCCACTGCCGCCCTCTGCTGGCTCTGCAAAAGGAGCAACCAGGCACAGCGGCAGAGAGCAAGACCGAGTGGCAGTGAGAGCAAGAGCAGGTGGCAGAGAGCAAGAGCAGGAGAAACCAACGTCCGGCAAGAAAGCAAGTCGACGAACGAACGAACGAACGAATGGTAAACACATTGGAGCGACAAGTGAGTGATAAGGGAGGGGTAGGCGCATGGCGACAGTGGGCCAAGGGCACCGAAGCAGCGAGCTGAGGCAGCGAGGGGGGACGCGCGCATGGCATGAATGAAATTCTATCCTAAGCCACACCCACTGGACTCTCTGGACTGGACTGGACTCTACATGAGCTCAGCTGCCATTATGCGCCCTGACCCACCGCCGCCATGCGCCTCACAGGAACACGTGTGCTTGGCACGAGAAACACGGGATGCACCAACACAACACAACACAGTGGTGCGGAGTGGTGTAGAAACACAACAGAGTGGTGTAAGGGTTGAGGAGGGAACTTAGCCGGGTTCAGAAGCTGCTCGTTGCTTGCCGATCGTCGTTTTCCGCACTCGCCGCATTTCTCCACACGTTCTGTTTCGCCATTCACCACGTCAGCACCGCTCCCCGCAGTTGGCAGCGCCGCTCCCCGCAGTTGGCACCGCTGCTCCCCGCAGTTGGCCCGCTCTGGTGTTGCCTGGCTGTTGACAGCTGATGTTGACTGCTGCTGCACGTGCTGCTGCTCTGCTGCTCTGCCACGCTCGATTCAGCCTGAGGGAAGAAGATGGATGGAGGGAGAAGGAACAGCAAGAGGGCAAGCAGAGAGAACTTGGAATGTTACGTGGCAGAAAACATGTCAAGGTGGGAAAGAGAGCAGAGGTCATGGAGAGCAAGAATGAGAATGAATTGGAGTTTGCAACAGCAGAGTCTCGAGTGGTTGGGGAGGGGTGGGGGGGGAAGGCGCATGGCGACAGTGGCCCACGGCACTACAGCAGCGAGCTGAGCCAGCGAGGGGGGACTGGGGTAGAGAGGGACGCGCGCATGGCATGAATGCACTCCCTCTCCCACTCATCTCTCCCACCGCTCCCACTACACTGCACTCTGCATTAGCTCCACTGCCACAGCACCATGGACCACCACCACCATGCGCCAAGCAAGGGATACGAGGTGACAATCTGGCAGCAGTAAAAACGACGGACGGGGAGAGCGAGGGAGGAGTGAAGAGTGGGGAGCGCGAGGAGACTTAGCTACAGGAGAGTGTCGAAGCTGATCATCCGCATCCGCACATTGTCACGCGAGGTACATCGCACGCCCTCGCACGCACTTAGTCGCCACCTTCCGCACGCGGACGCACACGGTACGTCGCATGGCGCTCGTCGGACATCGTCGCATGCGGCATGTCGTCAGCATCCGCACAACATCGCACGCCGATCGTCGCACGCGGTAAATCGCCATCTTCCGCACACCGTCGCACGCGGGTCTTCCGAACGCGATCGCACACGGGACGTCATCTCAAAAATGTGGCCCTTAAAATTGGCAGTTTACAGCCATAATCGCCATGCATATGGCGGGTTTGTGGCTTGGAATTGGCGGGCTGTACGCAGGCCGCTTCGTAGGCGTTTGGGCCCCGTGAATTGCCGGGCTGTGTACTGACTAGAACAGCCATTCACGGCCCGTTCTGCATTGTCGTACATGGCCGTGTATGGTCGTGTATTTGAGGACTATATACATGCATAACTAGTGGAAATGCAACTTCAGGGTAGGAGGATAAATTGCCCTTAATTTGAGGACTAAAAATTAGGATGTATTGACAGCCTATAAAATGACATACTGAGCAGGAGCATTTATTGTTTTATTTGATGAAAAATCGAAAGGTGCTGTTTCTGAAATGGTTTGATTTGTAGACTTTTCATTAATTAAATATAAACATTTAACAGAACATCCACATACTGCCCTACACATGATACACAACTAACTATGATAGAGCCGAGAACAGGTCCGGTATTTCAGTCATGAATAGTTCCACCTGCACATAGAAGCCATGCCATTAGAATAACTGCTTGTAGCCTGAAACAACACTTACATGGCGTACTGATAACTGTGTGATCCTACACAGCGCCAGATGCATAAAAACTTGCGAACATCGTAACAAACTAACGAGCGTTAAAACATCCACACAATTAACCAATTCGAGAGATAAGAACAGCCGGAAATATATGGAGGGCGACAAAACACACGAACATGAGACACCGTGAGACTGAAACAGACAGAAATACAGAAAAGGCGACAAAGGACGCTCTCGTCAGAAAATCTCACACACAGAGCGTAAGATAAGTGCAGCCATAAACACAGAAATGGCGACAGAACACGCTATCAGAGAAGCCCTGCGACAGACAGTCGGTATTATACCCGCGTCTAAGTATTCAGGCTGTGAACTGGAACTAGCACGAATGATGAACTCGACGGCGGAGGAACTAGGGAATAACCAGAACTTGAACACGAAGTGAGCGCTGAGAGGAGAAAGGGCGAAAGAAGAGCAATAAGTCGATGCTCTGAGGATGATGTGTTTGGGCGATGTGGGTGGGTTGTTTGCTTGTATGGAATGGGCTGAAGGTGGAGGGATTGCGTGCAAACGAGGGAGGGTGGCGCTCGATGACTTGCGATTGGCTGGGATTGAGCTGCTGCTCACTTGACGGCTTGTTCTCGAATCACAGCAGATCGCGCGACTCGAAAACTGGAGTGTGGTGTCTGGCGCGCCCCAGGAAACCATAACCTACAGCATGCTGGGCGCGACACGAAAAGTTGATGGGAATCTTTTCGATCCCATTTGCCACATCAGCAGCGAAGAGACAGTTCATTCGTTGAAAACGTGTTCAAGATGTGTGACGATAATCGTGCGAGCGGATCGTCCAATGAAAACATCATCGTCTTTCCATGCACATTCAGATGAACAACACCACGAAACGGTATAATTTCGTTTAGCGATAAACCCAACATCTGCAACAGTAAGAATTGTATACTAGAACAAGGCTCGACGTGTCGACGTCGGGAGGGTTGCGTAGAGTGTTATGGAATCTCTTATACCGTCTCTCGCGCCTACGGTCAGGGCCTATGATTCACTTTTAGGCATGTTAATGCATCAGGGTCACTCTGTGTAGAATCCCTGATCGTCAGTGTCCCCCCAAAAAAAAGCCTGAAAATTCAGTGTTACCTTAAAAAAAAAGTCTGATGCATCAGTGTTCCCTTTTTGTAAAGGCTGATATTGAACTTCAAATAATATAACACTAACTAGCTAGCAAGCATCAGCAACAGAGGGTTAAATAGTGGTGCGTCATTCACTTTTACTCATTATCATCACTGCTGTTAGTCTCTGATTAAGACAAGACTCTTCAAGGAGTCTGCAGAGCAGTCGTCATAGCATTCGTCATAGCATTTAAGATCTCAATCATACAGCACACTAGATTACAAATTACAAATAGTGGTAACTTAAATCAACATAATGATTTGTATCTAAACTAGTTTATGTATGAATATAATTTCTCTACAGGGAGGGAGGGGTGGGTTGTAGATTCAGATCTACGAATGAAATGGACTAGGTGGCAGGTCCGTGGACCTGCCACAAGATAAGGAGCACTTGACTCCTTACTGCATGCTCCTTTACAAGTCTTGTCACAATCTTTAAATTTTAAAATATAATTCAAAAAATTTCATATTAAGACAAGACTCTTCAAGGAGTCTGCAGAGCAGTCGTCATAGGTTGCACGAGACATTAGGTATGTAAGTAAAAAGAATGATTATTCTTACTATTAAAAATATTGATTTTTACGCATTACGCTTCTTATCGGGTGGACCGGGAAGAGAATTTCCATGAAATTGGGGAGAGCAAAGTGAGAAGAAACGAGGAATGAAAATGACTAAAGGAAAGTTGGGTACAAAAGCAAACCCTAGAAAACTGTACCCCATATGTGCTACCCCACTATAGCCTACAGTAGCTATGTCATATAAATCTGACACACCCCCATAGGCAAAGTGGGGGAGAACAAGGGGTCACAAGAACAGTCAAGCAAAGCAAAACAAGCTCAGGGTGGATCACAAAGTCACCACACATTCCGAGCACAAGTTCAAGGCCACAAGGCCAGTTCACATGCAGGATTGCATATATATATAAGGCTAGACAAGCAAGAGCAGGTGTATATATATATATGCAACAGTACAAGCAAGGTCAAGGGATGAGCAAGTGAGGCAAGGTAGGCACAAGACCCAGCTGAGTACAGAAGCGCTGATGATCACAAGGCGGAATTGCCTTGGTGAAGATATCAGCAGTGTTGGCCTCAGAGGTCACGTACGCAAGCCGTAGCTGACCACGCTGCTGTAGCTCACGAGCAAGGAAGTAGCGGAGAGCAATGTGCTTCGTTCTGTGCTCCAGTCTCTGCTCTCGACACAAGGCCAGCATGGCCTTGTTGTCTACGTACAGCACTGGAGGAGAACGAGGCGGCTCTCCGAGGTCAGTGAGCAGGTAGGTGAGCCAGCGAAGCTCCTGTGCAGCCATGGCCCCGGCGTAGATCTCAGCCTCACAACTGGGGCCGAGAACAGAAGACGAGCGGGTAGCCCGCCACGAAACAGAGCCGGAACCAAGGCTGAAGGTGTAACCCTGTGACGACCGCTGCGTAGCCTGATCGTCAGCCCAAGAAGCGTCTGCGTGCCCAGTGAGGACCACTGGACTCTGCCCTCCAAGCACAAGCCCCATGCCCGACGTACTGCACAAGTAGCGCAACACCCTCTTCGCTGCAGCCATGTGCTCCGGTCTGTGTCTCCCAGGAGCAACATAGCGTGCAAGAATGCTAAGAGGGTATGCAAGGTCAGGTCGTGTGCAGGTCATCAGGT